CAAGCTCCTCACAAGCTGTTTCCAAATATTGAAACACATTATGGCCGGCCACCAGCTCCATCTTATAATCAAATAGATGAATCACAAGGCAATTTCCTTCGGATTTTTTTTTAATAGGATTTCCACTCCTACCTCATTGCCTTGTCTGGCCTGATGTTTACAGAAAAAGAAATGACTACTTTCAAATATATCTCATCATGATTTTTTGTCAAATAAAAGCTGGCTGACTGCTGGAGGCACACTCCTCAGAACTCCTCATGTGCTGGGCCTGTTTTATGATACTCACTCAGGTGCCCTTCCTTTGCATCTGTGGGTCTCCACTCCCCAGAAGGGAACTTTTGCCAGCATTCACAGGAGGGCTAGATTTCCCCATCAGGTGTTTATTTTAAAACATCTGCCAGCTACATCTGCAGCTTTTAAATTAGACTGGTTTAAATGTGTAAGTATATATTTGTGTATATTCATGTACATATATATGGGGATGTGTCTATACATATGTGTGTGTAAAATTGAAAATACGTTTTAAGAAACTGCCCTCCAAAACTGTTTCATTACCCACAGGGCAGCCACATTTCTCCAAATCAAAGGACTGCCTTCAGGCCTCTGGGTGATACTAGCAAGAGTATTTCTCAATTCGCCTGCATTTTGATTTTTCTTAAAGTCTGACATTAAAAAGGAATCTTCTCCACTTTAAATCAAGAGCCTGAACACTTCGGTGCAATAGAAGATGCAGGGACACTCTTGTCCTTGTTTTTTTTACTACAGTCCCAGCGAACCTAAATAACAATGACTCGTCTTAAGCTTCAGAAAGGGCACACACCTCGTGAATGCTCACTGTCCTTGGCAGATTCTGAAATAATTAAGATGTTGACAGCATCCGCAGTTGGGGAACATAAAAATTGAGATGTGGAAGGAGATGAGAGTCTAGTTGATATGCGAAGTTATTCTAACTGCTATATTCATATTTAACTGGGAGCTCTCTTTCCTACGTCTACTCTGTTCTCCAGCACCCATGGGTGCGGTGGGGGATCACCTGTGCAGTGAGAACTTATGTCCTTGATTTGCATATATTTGTTTGTAGCCACATGACAAGAAAAGCAGGTATCTGGCTTTTACTTCCTCATTCTGCTGTGGATTAGACTGGACCAATAATTGCTGGTTTAGGGGGCCTTGCAGCTCGGAGGCTGTTTTCTAGGTAGTTTCAACCCTGGAATCCTCTTCCTTACTCCAGGGAAATCTATACCTGGCGCGCATGCGCTCTGGTCCCACTTGGACATTTTTTTCCACGCTGCCATGTTCTGCCCTACTCTGGCCACTGCAGTCCTCAGGCTTCAGTGCTTTGTGAGCCCTTCTCCTGCAAAACCACCAGATAGGTGCACTCTCTAGGCCCAAGAAACACATCTCAGGCATGTTCTGAAGTGAGGCCTCTCCCACGACAGACCTCCCTTCCTTTGCCTGAAACACCTCACTCCACCCTCTAGCGCAGGGGCAAAGGGGGTATTCTGATCAGTCTTCCCCCGTGGGGCTCCTGCCTTCTGGCTTCAGCCAGCCTCAGCACTCCAGGGTGATGTCCTAAGCAGCACCATCTTAATGGGTCACACCCTTTTCTGAAATATGAAGCACCTGTATTGCCTTGCGAGCCAAGTCCAAACTTCTCTGCCTGGAACTCAGCCTCATCCTATGATCGCTCTCTGACTTATCATTCCAGCTAACTCACTCTCCACCTCTAGAGTAGAGGGCAAGTTAATAAGTTAACAGGTTAAGTGCCTCACGGTTAGTCCTCATGATGTTCTTGTGAGACAGCTACTATTTTTTCTTGGTTTTCAGATGAAGAAATTGAGACTAATCCAGGCTATGAACTTATCCTACATAACCCAGTGTGTTCAGGTTCCTAGGGCTGCTGACATTCCCATAAACCTGGTGGCTTGAATGGACAGAAATTGACTCTTGAAATTCTGGAGGCTGGAAACCCCACATCCTGGTGTCTGCAGGGCCATGCTCCCTAGGGAAGTCTCTAGAGGAGAATCCTTCCTTGGCTCTTCCAACTCTGGTGGTCCCACATATTCCCTGCAGGTAACTGCACCACCCTCATCTTGACATAGCCCATTTGTCTCCTCTGCACTCCACACATTGGATTTGGGACCCACCCTAAAACCAAGCTGGCTTCCTTTTGAGATCCTTAACTAATTACATCTGTTCAAAGACCCTGCTTCCCAATTAGGTCACATTTTGAGGTTCAGGTGGAACTTGGACTTGGGGGGGACTCTATTCCACCCACTCTACTCATGTAAGAAATTGACACTGGGTTTATCTGACTCCGGCCTCAACATTTAACTCTGTGCTTCATGCCTGCCAGAAGGCTCTTGGCCAAACTGAATTTCTCTCACTTTTCTAAACAGATATCTCCCTTCCCTGCCGCTCTGTCTTTGCTCCTGCTATTTTCTTTATAGAGACCAATCTTTCCTTTTTTCTTTCCTTCCACCAACCTTACTCCTAGAAATCTTCAAAATGAAACTCAATGCCGTTTCCCCCAAGAAGACACCCAGGACTGCATGGGCCAGCCAGGAAACTCTTCCTCCCACCTGCACGTCCACTGCCTTACCTCACATCTCTGATGGCCATTATTGTCTTTGACCTCACATTCTAGATTTTTGTGCAGTTGTTTTCACTGGCCACCAGCCCCGATTCCTGCCAATGTTAACCATAGTTAAGTTTCTTAAAGGCAAAGATGCCTTTTCTCCCTTGTATTCTGCATAGCACCTTGCATAAGCAGCTTCTTAACTCTGGCCAAGTGAATTCTTAATCACCTCTTTCCCTGCAATAATACCTTGTGTATTAGCAAGCAAAAATGTGGAATGTATAAAATCCAGCTATTTCCAGTGCTCCTACCTTGCCCAAATGGAATTTTTTTTTAAAGGCCAATTTACTTTTCCTCATCTAATTCAATCATTTTAATAACTTTTTTCTTCATTCAAATTTTATCTAATAGGAACAAATCCAGGCCCTTCCAAGTATAATAATCCCACAAGTCTTTTCATTTTCTTTCTATTTCCAATGCCACCTTCGTTGGCTTTTGGGAACAGTCAGATTTACTGCCCTCAAGGTTTCCGAGGACAAGAACAACATCTTAGTCATCATGACATTCCCAGCACCCATCAGTGTCTGAATATCCAACAAAGTCTGAAGAAAGTGTGAGTGAGCGAAGGTGTGGACGCTGCGTTAGAGTAGGAAAAGTCTCAGTTCTCCCTGGAAGAGAACTTCTGCTTTTGCAGGTCTGAGGTCATCCTCACCGGGCCCATGAGGCAGATAATGCTGCCATCCTGACACATTACAGATGGGAAACAGAGGCCAGGAGAGAGTAAGGAACTTCACTTGGCCACACTTCCAATAAACATTAAAACCCAGGTCCATCTGGCTGTGGAGTTGTAGCTCTTAACTAAAAATCTCCTCAGATTGCTGTGTTGCCTGCATTGTCCCACCCTGGCTCAAGCTGGGGAGCCCTAGTGGGTCAATCCTGCCTAGGAGGCCTGGGATCTGTTGGCCATTTGGCTGGGGAGGTCTGAAAAAGATCTGAGGAAGGTTGATATGCAGGGTGTGTATATGTGTATGCACATATGCTGTATATTTGCTGTGTACATCTGTGGTATGTGTATGCTGCATGTGTGCTATGTGTGTTTGCTACATAAATGTGGTGGATATGTGCTATAGTGTGATACATGGAGACAAGAGGACTGAGTTATAGGAAACAGTTTTGGAGACTAGAATAGGCAAATAACCAGGAGTCACATTTTGACTCCATTCCTGGCCCGGACTCAACATCTGCATAAACTTAGACCAGTCACTATCCCCCTGAACTAGTTCGCTAAGAAATGAGGTTCTGTCACCCTCAAGGAAACACTAAAAGGATCTGTAAAATTCAAAAGAAAGTTATGAAAGTCTCAATACATGCAGGAGGATCAAAAGGAAAAGAACTTGTGGTCACGGATTTGAAGGAGTTCCCACTTGAATTGAAAGAATCAGACACATGAAACTAGCTCTCATTTATGCAGGATGAAAGATGTGCATGATGAACCATGAGTTTAGCATTTCTTGAGCTTTTTACTGCACAACAGATTAAAAGAGGCTAATCTCACAACAAGCTTACAAGTAGGTGTCATTAGCAAGCCCATTTTGCAGATGATAAAACTGATAGCTAAATACTATCCAAAGTTACACTAATGTTAAATGACACAGTCCAGATTCACACTTGGCCCATGTAACCCAAATTTTCTCTTTTATTACCTCTCTGTAGTGTTTCCTTTAGCAACTCAACAAGCATAGTGCGGAGAGACGGAACCTCTGCCCTTAGCTTGAGAAAGAAGCAGTCAACCAAAGAGCAAACCTTTTTAGAACTGTGTCACTTCAGACAATGTGAAAGTTCCCATGATTGTCACCTGTGCATCTGACTACAAACTCATAAAGATAGGGAGGTAGGAGAGTAAAAGAGAATGTACAGGGGACAAAGAAGATGTGGTAGGGCGACACCAGGAAGTTCCCTTCCAGCATAAGGGTTGCACACACCCTCAGAAAAATGCCACATGATTAACGTCAACCATATTAACGTCAGAGGGAAGACTCTGGTTCCAGCTTTGCCTGACTGATCAACAGCTGAAAATCACTAGTTCCCCCTCCCCTATATTTTTTAACTTTTCTTAATGCTTCAGTAAAGCTGAAGACTATGATCCCACAGGGAACAGATCAATCAGCTTTGACAATAGCTTAGCATTTAGGGGACCCCATATACTTACCCACTGAATCATCCAAAACTAACTTGAAATAATTGTGAACCACAATTCCAAAGGACAGATATATTTTTAAAACAGATAATTACTGGGCTTCTGCTAATGAGAAAATGAAACAACAGAATGGTTTATTTTTTTTTCCTCTCTGGAATATGCTTTTTTAAAAAACCATATAAAAATAATCATGATCATCTTGTTTGGGGAAGAAAACAGAATGTCTTTGTTTTCAAAGATTTTATTTCTTTTATTATAAGACATATAAGGTAAAAACTTGTATATTTTGAAAAAGATAGAAAATGGTAATAAAATGGACATTTTTCTTATTAAGAAATATGTTCATAAATATGCTTTATCAAATGTTAAAATGGTTATTTTGCAAAATAATAAATAGAGCAGAGCTGTAGCATACAAGGGCTAACTCAAAATACTGGAAGTTTTTATATATTTTATAAAAATTTAGCCTTTGATTCTATTTAAAAATTTGGCATTTTATACTCCAGGTTATCAATAATTCAGATTTTAAAAATATTTTTATGTTAGCTCCATGATTTCAAAAACAATGAAACACAAAAGGTGATTTTACTAAGTAGAATTTGTTGAAAATAACCTTCCCTTAAATAAAAAATTGTAAGACACATAAGATACATGTTTTGAACCTATAAATGGTACACACATTAGTTCCCAATACCACAAATCTCTGTAAGCATTACACAAAAATTGTTAGCTTAAGCTTTAGTTTCCAGCAAGATCCATCATTTCTTTTCACAGTTTGATGGAGCATTGATAGTCATGACCATGATGAGCCCAGTTCTTACAATTCTAGCTCCATGGAGATAAGGTACATGGACAGTTCTCCTCCTTTGAATAAATCCTTTCAGTGTTCCCATGTTCGTTTATCACCCAATGGCAAGAACACTGGGCAAAATTTTAGTGATGAAAAGCTCTTGTTCTAGGCATTCTTTTGTAAGCTTTGATTCTCTACTATCCAAAGGAGCAAAAAAAAAAAAAAAACATGTGAACACCAAACATGTCCCACAATGAGCATTAAGTGTCCACTTAGCAAAGTCAGCATTTTTCGATAAATAAATACTAATTGTTTACAAAGATCTTTCATTTCCCATGCATTTTGTTGCCCATGAGGCTAACATATTCATTCCCAGCTGCATTGAGGGAAGCCACATCTAACAATACTTAAGTATTCAATCTAATATAGATTATTGGTCCCAGTGGCCTTTGACGATGTCCATCAGGAGGACATCTGGGTGATGCTTGGTGTCTAGAGCACAGAGAGGTCGTGGCAAGATTTGGACTTGAGCTTGAAGGCCATGTTCTTGTTGTTTTTGGCCACGATCTTGCCCCAGAAGCGCCGAGCTTTCCTGGGGATGCTCTCTCTCCGTTTCTGGTAAGCCAGCCGCCGCTCATTTTTCTCCTTGCTGTCCCGACGTAGGCGGACCTGCCGCACGATGCCCTCGAACAGCTCCTTCACGTTGTGCTGGACAGCTGCTGAGGTCTCAATGAACTTGCAGTCGAACACCACAGCACATGCTCTCCCTTCTGGTAAGGAAAGGCAGAGGACAAAGTCAGGGGGACCGTAGAGTGTGATTGCACCCAGCATGCAGCCAAGCTGGATGATTCCCGCAAAACTATCCTCAGAGGGTAACTCTAGGTCAGTGCTATAAGCAATGAATAGAGGGAGCCACTATGACACATGCCCTCCTAGGGTACAAATAGAAGGACAGAGTCCCACAAGAGGATCCCTGGAAGCAGGGGAGATTATCTTCAGATCTGTTCACCAGGAATTAACTGTGTGAAGGTCCAATTGCATCAAATATAGCATATTAATTAGAACATAAAACCATAGCCTGAATTTATTATGGACTGACTACATGCCAAGAAGTAGGCTAAGTTCTTTATAAAGACTTTTTCAATGATCATAACAATCTTGGAAAATACATTATTATCCCCGATCAGGCTGGTGAAGAAATTGGGGGCAGGGCTCTTTTTAAAACTTGTCAGAGTTCACACTGCCTGCAAGTGGCTGTGAATCCAGGTCAACTTAAATCTCTAATCCACACGCTTTCTCTTGACTCAGTTTCCTGAACTGAGAATTAGAATGCTACCATTTGACTTTCCCCTCTTTTTTATTTTTATTTATTATAATTTGTTATATATGACAGCAGAATGCATTGCAATTCATATTACACAAATAGAGCACAATTTTTCCATATCTCTGGTTGTACACAAAGTAGAGTCACACCATTTGTGTCTTCATACATGTACTTAAGGTAATGATGTCCATCTCACTCCACCGTCTTTCCTACCCCCATGCCTCCTCCCTTCCTCTCTCTCCCTTTGCCCTATCTAGAGTTCATCTAATTCCTCCCATACCCCACCCCTCCAACCACATTATGAATCAGCATCCTTAAATCAGAGAAAACATTCAGCATTTGGTTTTTCGGGATTGGCTAACTTCACTTAGCATTATATTCTCCAACTCCATCCATTTTCCTGCAAATGCCATGATTTTGTTCTCTTTTAATGCTGAATAATATTCTATTGTATATATATACCTAAATTGAGAATTAGGATTTTACCACTTGACTTTCCTCTCTTAAAAAAAAAGCTGTAGGGGTTTTTTAAATATATATATTTTTAGTTGTCAATGGACCTTTATTTTACCTATTTATATGTGGTGCTGAGAATCAAACCCAGTGCCTCACACATGCTAGGTAAGCACTCTACCACTGAGCCACAACCCCAGCCCTATAATATTTTTTTTAAATGAGGTTTTTCAGTTACATCAAACTATTCAAGCTTCTCTGGAACAAACTCAATTTCAAATATTTCATTGTGTTCAATGATCACATGTCCCAATTCCAGTTTGGAAAGTAATGATTTTTGTGGACAATCATATCTTAGTAGTAAGACATTCCCAACAAGTTGAGTACACGGTCTTGACTGGGTTGGGTTTCTCTTCTCCAGAGCAGGGTCTAGCAATGCTGCATTTTACTTTTAAATTGTACAAGGGACAATCTATATTAGGTCACTATCTCAAGAGTCCTATAAGCACTTGGGTGTCCACTCAACAAAGAGGAAGTATCCTCAAACTTAAGTGTGAAAAAGTATGCAAAACCATCAGATTAATGTCTTAGCTGAAATTTAGAAGCAGGGGATAGGGTGAGGAAGTTATTTCTAGGGCTTGGAGGGACCAGTAACAGCCAGAATAGAATCCTTTTTCTCAACGAAACTCTTTCCCACAATTACCCTAAATCGAGTTCCCTATCCTTCTTGCATAAAGATGTTCTTTTCCCAGCTGGGCACAGTGGCATATGCCTGTAATCCCAGTAGCTCAGGAAACTGAGGCAGGAGGTTCCAAATTCAAAGCCAGCCTCAGCAATGGTGAGGTGCTAAGCAACTCAGTGAGACTCTGTCTCTAATACAAAATTGGGCTGGGGATGTGGCTCAGTGGTTGACTGCTCCTAACAGTACCATCACCACCCCCCCCCAAAAAAAAGATGTTTTTTTCCCTTCCTTGAACCCTGGGAGGACAAAGAGAAAAGTTTGGAGACTGCCAATAAATCCCTGAGGATGGCATTTCAAATCACCAGAGGGTGTACATTATTTAGCAATTCCTTTTATAATTTTAGAGCTACAGGTGTGATAAGAGGAGGTTAATTTTATAACCTAGGGCATTTCCATTTTGTATATGTGTGTGTCATGTGTTTCATTAAAGCCTAGCTTGAAAGCCTCAGTTCATGTCTCTGTTGAGCTGAAGTATTCAGTCCATTGCAAAGAGGGTTCTCCCCCACGTAAAATAAGAGAATTTTCTCGTTAATGTTTCTAAGTTCTATAATGCTACCATTTTCAGCTAGTTTAAAAATAAAAGACATCCTAATAGGGCCAACCAGGTATTTTATCAGAGTAAGAATAAGAAGTTTCTAGAGTGGCTTAGGAGGATTATCATAATGCATTCATGGAAAACCACCAACATAACCCATGTGACATTCAAGTTTGCTGTTAAAAGTAATATATAGTTGTCTTGTACAGAGGTCAAACTAATCTGAATAAGAAGAAAAATGCTCTAAAAAATATAGAAGGAATGAAAAGAAAGAAAAAATTAAAAGTCCCTGAGCATGATCTCTTCCCTAAAGGAATTCCAGGAAACCTCTTGGGGTGAGGAGATTGGACTCCTGCAGGAAAACCAGATGGACAAGGTAGAGCAACCAGCAGGGGATGACTGTTGGGGACTGGAGCAGTCTTGGAAAGTACAGGAGTATTTTTATGGAGCATTTTAATGAGTCCCTGATGCCAGCCTCATGAAAGAGGAAGGGAAGAACTTACAGGCAGGGGCTGTTTCCAAGGCACTGGTACCACCTCTCTTACCTGATACAGACACCTCCCTGCACCGAACTAGGTCACTTTTGTTGCCAACTAAAATGATAGGAATGTCCTCTGTCTGTCGGGCCCTGCGGAGCTGTATTCGCAACTCAGATGCCTTCTCAAAGCTCGCTCGATCTGTGATGGAGTAGACAATCAGGTAGGCATCCCCAACTTGCATGCAGTGGTCTTGGAGCCATTCATTCTCTCCCTAAAGAAATGAAAAGATCCTCTATGAGCTCAGGGTGGCCTGGGAAAGAAAGTGTCATTTTGCAAAGAAATCATATGTGTATCCTAAAGTACCTTTGCTGATAACAGAAGGGAAGAAAACTGCTTCAAACTCTTCAAAATCCTTTGAACTTCCATGCCTGTGAGATGTTGGGGCTGTGAAGATTACTAGCCTGTATGGTATTTGTGCCCAAAAGAGTTTACTCTCCTATGTCTTTTACAGCTTGAGTTGATAAATTACATAACTGCTCTGCCATACGGTATTTCTAACTCCCCCCCCAAATTCCTTTTCCTTTTCCAAGGAATAAAATTAAGAAACCTTTGGTGAGGAGGGTTCTCAGTAAACAGAAGGTCTCGCATATATGCTCAGAAGCACAAAACCTTTGAAAAGTAAATGTTGAAGACTAGTGTTGAGAATGTCAACTTCATACAAGATGGTTTTATGTGGTTGGAAAGTAACTCTATGCTTGTTTGAACTTTCCCTAAAACAAATACACTTTTTGTGTTTTTTAATAGAACTAAAGGTGGAACACTGCCACTTGCTTGTTATTCAGAGCTCATCTGTGAATGACCTGTTCCTTAGATCAGTTCTGTTCTTCCGAAGTAAATGCTTTTAATCAAGGAAATGAGCCCACCTCATCTGTGTAGAACAAGGTCACCCTCGCACCAAACAGCCTGTTCAAGGGCAAGCCCAAGAACTCTCTGAGAGCTTGAACAGGTTCGGCATACCTTATTTTCCCACATGTCCAGCAGTATAATTGTGGCACTTTCCCCGTCAACAATCAGGGTGCGCTCATATGTATCTTCTAGAAAAGAAAGAAGATTGATATTAAATTGATATTAAAGTCAGATGAATATGCAACACTTTGACATAAGGGGGCCATGCATAAAGTTATGCTAAAAAACACACTAAATATGCCACTAACTAGGTAGATACGCAGATATTTGCAAAGAAAAATTGCTTTTTGTCATCTTCAACAATATACGATGGCTATTCCTCTAGTATTTGGTAAGCAGATCGCCTGTATCTTTCAAATGTGTACCTCTAAACCAGTTGAATTAAAACATCTTCATTTTCATTGTTCCTCAAACTCTGTATAGGAAAACCACTTATGAAAACAAGGCTCACATAAGAGCCTTTGACTCAGGTTTAATGGATGAGGCTATGAAAAAGTATTAACTGTAAGCCCCATTTTCATAAGCCTTACATGGAAATCCATTGTACCTACCAGTGGATGGTTCCAGAACATTCATTGTCAATTTCATGAGTTTTAGCTCAGAGATATTTCTCCTCCTTGGAGAAGTGGGAAAAAAATCTTGAGACTATCCTGTTTGACCTATAGTTTTTTTATTCCTTAAAATAATAACAACAAAGGCTGGGGCTGGGGTTCAACGGTAGCACACTTGCCTGGCATGTATGAGGCACTGGGTTTGAGTCTCAGCACCACATATAAATAAATAAAAATAATGGTCTGTCAACAACTTAAAAAAATTTAAGAAAAAAAATTAATTAAAAATAATAATAATAACAACAACAACAAGAGTAACTCAGTTCTCTAGGACTAGATGAGCTTATTTTCCATCTTGAGTACAGCAGAAGTACAGCCTCCAGTTCTACTTGGTAATGGAAACTTTCCTCCCTGCACTTGAGCCCAGATTGAGTATAGGTGAAAGGTGAACACAGTACAATGGGCCAAAGTAGCTCCAGTCTGGAAAAATCCATCGGGGTGGCACCACGGGGTGTGCTTGGATTTTTGCAAGAAGGACTCCCTATCAACTCCAGTTGATCCCATCCTACTCTGTTTACACAATGTGATTTCCTGTTTTGAATTTCATCATTTGAAAATTATGACTTTTCTAATGATTTACCATTATTCTCATTCATCCTTTTGCCTAGAAGCTCTTCCCTCAGATACCAGCAAGGCTTGTCCCTTACCTTAACCTTCTGGGGAGGTATCCCTAACCATTCATTTGAAATCTCTCTTTAGTCTCACTAAAATTCCCTACTCTATCTCCTGCTTTGTTTCTTATTTGCATTATTGTCATCGAACATGCAACACATGTATCTTTCTAAAATTTTAGCATTTGTTGCCTCCAACTCCCCAGAATGTTAGGGCAGAGATTTGCATCTGTGATGTTTACTCTGCCCCGAGCACCCAGGATAGTGCCTGGCACATTGCAGGTGCTCAATAAAAATGTGTCCAATGAATGAATGAATGATATACACAGCATTGTGGTTATGAGCACAAGCCAACATGAATCAGAATCTGGTTTCATCCCTAATTAAGTATGTGGCTCTGGACCACTTACATAAATCCTCTGAGGCTGGGTTTTCTTCATTTACAAAATGAGATTGATAACCGTATCTACCACTTATGACTGTGTGACAGTCACATATACTAAGCCTGAACACAAAGTAGAAAGTGTTAGCTCTTATCATCACTTTCTCACATGCAAGAAGCTGGTTTTTGCCACAACCAGAATTTTCTACTACAGATAAATCCCAGCCTAAGTGTGCTATGGTCAGAGATCCAGGGAGGCTCTTGTTTTATAACAGAGGTTCATTGGTTTAGTGCTTCTTTACCTAAGAACTGGACCAGGAAAGGGAAAGAAAAGAAAACTCAGACAGGGGGAAGTTAACCAGGGATGGCTCTGTCCATTTCTCACCTCCAGTGTCATTAGCAGGAGTAACTGTTTCCCACTGGGGGTTTACAAATCTGTTGTGTCCTCCTATTTGCTGCATCCATCCTGCGCCCCTTGGAGGCGCTCACAGCGGGATGCAGTTTGGCTTACTGGAGGGCAGGGCCTCATGACCCCAGGGCACAGACTCCTACAAGCCAAAGGAAACCTGCCCAGCTCAGATGAGTGGGAGGGGAGATCTGACTGTCCCCTACTACCACAAAGTGTTTATCTTTTCTCTAAATACCCTCCCTGCACTCAGAAAACTCCCAGGAAGGCACTTTGTCTGCCTTCAGTCACCACCAAAAGCAGGTACAGGGAGATCTGCCTGATTGTCCAAGTCGTTCACATAGAAACATACCATGTTCCAACAACTGAAGGCCAAAGCAAACTCCACATTTCTCTTGGACTGAGAGATGTCAGAACATGTCTAGAGAAGCAGTGGACTAAGAATTACAGCTGTGAAAGTGGGAACAAGATATTTTGCTGTTCTGGAAGTTTCCTGACAGGATCATTCTATCTGGCCTGACCTCTGCCTGAAAACCACAGTGTTGGAGACCCGAGAGCCTAAAACAGTAGATCCTCTCCTTCCAGTTTGGGTTTATATCCCTCTGGCTGGGTGCACTGGGGACTCTCCTGACACTCAGAGTCCTGCTCAATAGCCTTCCACTAACTAAGTGCCTATAACCAAAGCTCTAGGTTTCTCTTCCTCCCTTAGTCCTCAAGCAATCTTTTAACCTCTCCAAGTGCTGATTGAACAAATTGAATAAAAGAACAGGAAATTCTAGAAGAGCTCTTGGAAATTTGCAAGGGGTTATAGAAAGGGTCGGGCCTTTCAGCCTGTGGGGCTTGTCCGGGATGTCCTCGTTTCTTTCATGCTCTGTGTGAATGCTGGGAGTGTCCTGGCACACTGAATAGCAAGAGATGTCATCCTAGTGGAGCCCAGGAGATTCTAGAGGGGGCTACTGTGCTCAGTGGCCATTTTCCCTGGACCAGTGCACCTCAGCTTATCTTTTCCAATCTGCTCCCACTGACAAAAACTCTGTCCCTGACCAAACGTGCATCATGAACCCTCTTCTTGGCTGGAGTTTCCATATCTGTCCTTGTAGAGTCCAGTTTTAATCAGAATCCTGCTGAGTCAGATTAGTGACACTTCCCCAGCCTCAATATCTGATCAAATTCCTCATTTCCCCCACCTTTGATGTCTAAGTCGTTGGCCTGGCTCCAGTAAGAATTCCCCTCATTTCGATATTTCTTCTTAGTGATTTTCCACCCACAGATCCTCCCAACCTGCTCCTTTGTTATAAATCCCCACTTGTTCTTATTACATTTGAACTTGAGTCCAATCTCTCTCCCTTACTGCTATAGTCCTGAATAGTTTCCCCATTATGTACATTTTTCTTTTACATCCCTCCCCCCCCAAGGTCTCTCCTGCCCAAGACTGGCTGGAGGCCTGCAGGTAGAACCTGCAGAGCTGTTGTCTCACGCTCCAGAAGAGGCTCCTATAGCCTCTCAAAGGCTCTGAGGCTCCAGCATCTCTCCCACCCAAAAACTTTCAACTACATTCAGCTTTCAGAGGCCAAGAGGTATCAAGGAAGATACGCTTGCTCTAATGTAAGGTCCTCTCCTCTATTGGCTCATGTCTCCTCTGCACATCTGAAAGGGCCCCAGGCAAGAATGACAAGAGGGTAGGTAGATAGGGAATAAGGACTTAGAAGTGATGAAACCGAAGTTCAGGAGAATAAGCACACAGGAAGGAAACAGCAGATCCAGAATCTATGGTAAGTACATTTATTCCACATTTCCTATGTGCCAGCACTAAACTACCTGCTTACACTACCTGCTTAATGTCTGCTCTTTTAATTTGTATAATGCCCTATGAAGTACTGTCCCAATGATACTAATAAGGAGGTTTCAGGAGGTTAAGGTGTTTGTCCAAGAGCACCCAGCTAAGTCTGTGTCACGTGGGGTCTAAGCCCACTCATCAGACTCCACGCCCAGTGCTCTTTCCTGCACTCCCCTGCAGGTTCAGTGCCTTCACACCTAGCACAGCGCTTCCAAATCCTAGGGGTCTTTAAGGTGCAGCTCAGACAGCACCTCTTCCCTGAAGCCTCTTCTGATTTTCAGTCTTTTCTCTGAATTCCACTTTCTCATAACCTGTTCTCCTTGCAATTTTTCCACAACACTTATCACATCCTCGTTTCATTTACAGTTGATGTATGTCTGACCTCCATGGCACACTGTGAGACCCTCTACGAAGGGAGCCCCCAGGACATTTGCATGTCCCCAGAGTGACTCAAGTTCTATAGTATATGTTCAGTAACTGTTTATAAATGAATGAATGGCATTAAATGTACACAGAGAGTCATAACATTATCACAATATAACTGTAACAGCATCCATCTTTATTGGGAAAAATAAGGATGAGAAAATTGTATATACTTTTTCTTATGGTTAATGCTGAGAGGGAAAAGACAAAAACAATGTAGGAGTGTGTCTTGAAAAACCTCCCTCGTGGGAAACACAAAGCCAACTAGTGATTCCAACAGGGCTTATATATAAGGAATATAATCCTAGATGGTATAAATTAAGTTACTCGAATAGGATATGTAAGATAGGAAGCACTTGTCAAAGATTCTCAGTTTAAGGACGTAAGAAAAAGATTCTCTCTCTCCTTATCTCCCTCTTATCTAATAAAGAGATTTCCCAAATGCAGAAGGCTGCCTCCCAAATTCCAGGTATGAATCACTCTTCTCAATACTTTATGCTTACTATCCTCTGGATATACACCATCCCATTCTAATGAACAAACATTTTTGAAAGTATATTATTCACTCCTTCAATCCCTCCCTCTTAAAAACAAACAAACCCTGTCAGTCGATGAGAGAGTTGTCAATCCTTAATTCTTTCAATCCTCAAAACACACTATTGCTACTTCTTAAATAACCTAATAATTTTAAATTAATTTCACCCCATTCTAAATTACAGCCACTGACACAGAGCTCCTGAGTGAGAAGGTACAGTGTGGTTTGCCCATCTTGAGGTACCCCAGAGCTGTCTTCTAGACACAGATACCCACCAGCCTTCACAAAGAAAAGAGAATCAGCAATACAGCACCAGTCCTGCAACTCTGGGATAGGCAAAGCCCAAAGTAAGAGAGAAATTGATATTACATCAGTGAGTCATCACTTATAGCCCAGTTCCTGAGCTGCCTCTTGAAGCAGTGAACTCCCTGACACTGACACAGTCCAGAGGAATAAAACCTTTAGACAGAATGGGCTGATGTATTGAGGAGTAGGATTCATATGCATCAGATGGGGAGGAAATGTGAGTCACCACTAAGCCATTTTCCTACCCCGGAAGTCTGTGATTCAGTTGTGTGTTACAGCTGGAAATATGGACAAACCATGTGACTTGGGTACACTGGACAGTTCTTCCTTCATTTCTAATAGTAGTAAATAGGGACACACAGCTACCCCGGTTACATGTGCTAAGATCAGCGCTGTAGTTGGAGGACACTGGACACCATTGGCTATTAGGATCCTTATATTCCATCACAGAATATAAGGCTCTCCTTTTCCTGTTATTAAGGAACACATGCATTTATGAAATACTATTATCACAAAACAATTTTAGAAATAGGGCTTCAACAAGTAAATATTTGAAATTATATTGTACAGGGAAAATTATCTTGGAAAAACTATAAGACTCCATACAAAGTATTCATCATCATTGTCATTATTTCAAAATTTTTTTAAAAAAATATTGAATTATTTCAAATACAGATTTTGAACTATTTTACACCAGTAAGTCTTTAATATTGGTTGTAACAGGCTGGTAAATATACTCAGTTTTTTTTTTTTGTTGTTGTTGTTGTTGTTGTTTTAATCAGTTTTGTTGTAGGTATAACCATGGGAAAAGGCTATACCTGTACTGAGCTCTTGGAATCTGATCCAGGACAGAGTCAGCAAGAGCAAGAAGTGGGATCCTGAACTCTGGCTCTGTCCTCTTTAATCAGCCTCCCTCAGACCCTTCCGATTAGGAATCTCAGAAACTCCCTATGGCTCAGGTTCAACAGACTTTGGTCTTATCTATAAGCATTGTCATTTTCTTGTCATGAGGGCCTGTGCCAGGGCCCTTCTGGGGACTCAGCTTCCCATCCAGTGCCAAGAAGGCATAACTTCAGCTCCCAAGTCTGCAGATAAATGACCCTCTGGCTCTCTTTCTGCCTGGACTACTGCTAAGAGACAGAAGCCCACCAAGCCTGCGACACCTACCTCCCAGCACCTCGCAGTCGCTGTCCAGGCTGTCGTGCACGCCTGCAAAGATGTTGGCCAGGGTGGACTTGCCTACTCCCTGCTCCCCTATGAGCACCACACGGTAGTAGGTGTTCCCTGACTCAGAGGAGATGACAGAGTCTGTAGAGTCAGAGGACCAGCTCCGCCGGCAGTGGTCCTCAGGGTTGGCAGAGTGGTGGTTGCGATGGTTGTACGGGTGGGGCTCTTTCTGGACCATCAGATGCCTGCCATCGGCTGGGATGCTCCAGCGCTGCTGCTGTGGCTGCATGCCCACAGTGCCCTGGCGCATGGTGACATTATTCAGAGTCATCATGGGGTCCTAGGGAGCAAAACAGCCAAGATGCCAACATTGGTGAAGATAAGTGAACGTTCAGGGGACCTAAACACATGGTCAGTCATTAGTGATATTCTATGAAATGGGTACGAAATTAAGTATCATTAAGGAACATCAAAGAAACAGTCTCCAAACCCCAACAAGCCAGGCTTTCAAATAGGGAGATACACACACACACACACACACACACACAATTAGTAACCATGTCCTCAGGCAGACTGTCAATTGCACAGGAAAAAAAAAAAAAAGTACCATTAACATCGCCCACTGCCCATAAGCTTCCTCCATCCTCAAAGAAGACTTGAGGTCTCCACTCTAAGCTGGCACAGAGGCAGTTGGAAGGAAACCACAGCCTCCAGAGATGGCTTGAAGAGCAACAAGTCAGGGCTGCTGGGGACCAGCTGGCCAGGTTAGCTGCTCTTTTCTAAACATGGCTCTTAATTGCACCAGCGTCCTGCAGGCTTGTGTGCCTCAGTGGGAAACACGTGGCAATGACATCACTCCCCCTGGCTGGACTGGACAGGCACTTATGGGAACTTCCATGTTTAGTAAAGTTGCCCTGATGCTCTCCAGCTGCCTGAAGAGACCGTTATTTGAGGAGTGGGGGCAATTTCTGTTTGGGGTTTATGCCTCAGCTCTGCCCTCTTGCCCACAGACACCACCTTTAAAGCATTCCAGCCCCAAGCCTAGTCATTCCAGCAGGTCACATTCAGATGTATCAAAAATTTGCAAAGTGCTTCACCCCCATCAAACCACATCCACTCCAAGATTTATTTAATTCCATTTCAGATTTCCACCTTCTTGAAACAAATCAGAAGGCCAAAGACTTTTCTAAACCACATTCACCAACTTCCTACAACTTTCCCTTTGCAAGACCAGGCACGGAGGGCTGTTCTCCGAGACTGCTTGAGATCAAGTAGAAGCATTCACATTTGAATCAGCAAGATCCACTGGAGAGTGACGGGTGCACAAACCTCACACCACGATCCTTATCCACGCATCAGGACCACCGATCGATGGGGGAGTTTTTGACACCTTAAGGGCAGCCCCTTAGTGGGTCGATTTGCATTCAAACAAGGAAAGTGTCATTGAGGGTTACCCGATGATCACACAATCTGCAGGAAGAGGTGACCCTCTTCCTGAACTGAACTAAGGAACCCGCTAATGAGAAATGCATCCTTTGCATCCGAAGTTCCTTCCCCTATCAGAAAACCAAGCGCAGACAGCAAGTTCCAGGGGTTCCCTTAAACTTAGAAAGTTCTACCGGCTGGGAACGCCCACTCCCTGTCCTCCCGCTCCCCGCGCCGCTGGAAGAGCGCCTCGGGACGCCCCCTTACTTGGCTCCGCGGGGCCGGCAGGGTGGGCGTCCGTGAGTGGGTCCGCGCTGGGATGCCGGGGCCGCTGAGCACCGGGAGACTCCGCTGTGCCCGCGGTCCGAGCCTACAGCCTGCAGCCGCCTCGGCCCCGCGATTTATACGAGCCCCGCCGACCCGCGACGGGGCTTTTCCGTGACGTCAGCGCTCCCGCCGGGAGGGGGCGGCTCTGCAGCAAACTCGGAGTTGCAGCCACTTGGCTAAATCAGTTACTCGCAGTCATGTGACCCCCACCTCCCCTTTAGAAAAAAAAATAATAATGACAGTTCAATCCTGGGTTTGCTTTATTTTGTTTTATTTTATTTTTACTAGGTGGAAAAATACACTTAGCGCTACTTAATCGCCCTTCCCAGCAGAGCACTTGCCAGCTGTCGGGATAAAGGATGGAGGTAGAGACACATTTGAGTAGCGAGCCCAGCTTTGCCAAGAAAACAAGAATGAGCCGGTGTGCGCGGGGGACTTCAGCCTCCAGGATGGGGCTGCAGCCTCCTCGAATGGTCTTTTGCACCACGGCAAACAGCCTCTTCCTCCCTCCTGTAACCTTCTCCCTGGATTGTGGGGAGCCCCACACTGCTTTGTTTTCCTTTTCTGGCTGGGACCCAGAGAGAGGTGAGGAAAGGGGAGGAGAGCTTATAAAGGGAACGTTTGGAAAATAACTGAATTAGGGACCCACGCAGATAGTGCTATAGATTGCTGGCCCTCCTGCCCTGGGCCAGAATGCTGAGGTTCCTCAACAGGGGAATTTAATCACATCCCAATCAGCACCATCTCTGAACCAGGCTCCCTGGTATTGCTGGGCCTGAGGCTTGGGGCCAATACTTCCCAGCCATGGGGAGGAGCTCAAGCCCAGGAGGGACTCCTGTGAATAAAGGGCAAAGGATAATAACAACTACTACTGCCATTTACTAAGTACTTCCAAGGACCTATATTTGGTACTGTTTGGCCTCCAGGGACCTTTACTCCTTACTACAATTCTGCAATGTGACTGGATTGCTGTATTCACCATATGAAGGAGGAAAATGAGGCACTGCAAGAAATTCTCCAAGGTCAGAGAGCTCCTATAAATGGCAGGGTCAGCACTCAAAACTTGGTATGCCTGACTTGCACTGCACCACCGAGGAAGGGTTTCTGTGACCTCTTCCCCAGGACATAGGAATTTCCCAGATCCTTTCCAACATATCCATCACTTTTTCAGCCAGCTTCATCTCTGGGTTGGCAGGTGGCTCCAGGAGCAGCCAAAGGCACCAGTGCCTATTAGAGAGGCTAGACTCTGCTGTGTTAGTCAATTCCTATCCTGCGGACATTTATCGGCTTTGGGGATTATCTAAGTGACCAGCTGCTAAGACCTGCCAGGCCCCAAACTGGCAAAGTTGGAATTTGCACAGTAATGAAGACTTAGAGCCCCATAGTCTCAGGGGTCTAGCCCCAATCTCCTGTTTATTCTCTACATAAGGAAGCTCTGGCTTGGAGGACTGATAATCATTCAGTTAGGATATGGTAGAGTCAGAACTAGAATCTGGGTATCATAATTTTCTGAACTAGGCCCTTCACTTCTGTCAAATTTTTCTTCTGGGCTTAGCCAAAAGAGAATAGCTACAGCTGGGCGGAGGGTGGGGGGAAGAGGGGAAGGAGACAAAAGAGAGACAGACAGAAACAGAGAGATCATTCCCAAGGGTATATCATTAAAATACATACAATTTGTGCACTATCTGCATTTCAGAATTATCCATGCTTTTTCCTTGCTAAACCTCATGCTCTGTAAGCTGGTCTCAACAGAAATATTGGGGGGGGGGGTAAAAACTAAGAATTAATCAGAGTTTATATCATATAGTCTCTCAATTCTTAGCACACTGATAAGAGCCTCACATTAATAAGAATCTATGGAGCCGGGCACAGTGGAGCACGCCTGTAATTCCAGCAGCTCAGGAGGCTGAGGCAGGAGGATCACAAGTTCGAAGCCAGACTCAGCAAAAGTGAGGGGCTACAAATCTCCATCATGTTGGATTAGGTCCCAATTTCCATAAGACTCCTATAGTGCAAGAATTAAAATCAAGAATCAATAAATGGGATGGACTTGAACTAAAAAGCTTCTTCTCAGCAAAAGAAAGAATCAGTGAGGTGAATAGAGAGCCTACATCTTGGGAGCAAATAAAAAAAAAAACACATGCACATCAGATAGAGCATTAATCTCTAGGATATATAAAGAACTCAAAAATCTTAACACCAAAAAACAAATAACCCAATAAATAAATGGGCCAAGGACCTTAACAGACACTTCTCCAAAGATGATATACATCAACCAACAAATATATGAAAAAAGTGTTCAACATCCCTAGCAACTGAAGAAATGAAAATCAAAATTACTCTAAGATTTCATCTCACTCCAGTCAGAATGGCAGATATTAAGAATACAAACAACAGGGCTGAGGTTGTGGCTCAGTGGGAGAGTGTTTGCCTGGGAGAGTGTGTGAGGCCCTGGGTTCAATTCTCAGCACCACATACAAATAAATAAATTAAATTAAGGTCCATCAATGACTAAAAACATTTTTTAAAAAGAATTAAAAGAATACAAACAACAATAAGTGTTGGTGAGGATGTGGGGGAAAAGGTACACTCATACACTGCTAGTAGGACTGCAAATTGGTGCAGGCAATCTGGAAAGAAGTATGGAGAATCCTTGGAAAACTGGGAATGGAACCACCATTTGACCCAGCTATCCCACTCCTCCTCAGTCTATACCCAAAGGACTTAAAAACAGCATACTACAGAACACAGCCACAACAATGTTTATAGCAGCACAGTTCACAATAGCTAAACTGTGGAAGCAACCTAGATGCCCATCAGTAGATGAATGTATAAAGAAAATGTGGTATATATACACAACGGAATATTGCTCAGCAATAAAAGAGAATAAAATCATGACATTTGCAGGTAAATGGATGGAGCTGGAGAACATCATGCTAAGTGAAATTAGCCAATCCCAAAAAACTAAATGCAGAATGTTTTCTCTGATTTAAGGGATGCTGATTCATAATATGATTGGAGGGTGGGGTATAGGAGGATTAGATGAATTCTAGATAGGGCAAAGAAGAGGGAGGGAAAGAAAGGGGGCATGGGGGTGGGAAAGATGGTAGAATGAAATGGACATCATTACCTAAGTACATGTATGAAGACATGAATGGTGTGACTCTACTTTGTGTACAACCAGAGATTTGAAAAATTGTGCTTTATATGTATAATATAAATTATAATGCATTCTGCTGTCATATATAATAAATTAAAATTTTAAAAAAACAGTGAGGGGCTAAGCAACTCAGTCTCTGTCTCTAAATAAAATACAAAATAGGGTTGGGGATATAGCTCAGTGGTTGAGTGCCCCTGAGTTCAATCCCAGGTACCACCCCCCCACACACAAACAAAAGGATCTATGGAGCTTGGACAGTGTGGAACCCACCACGCAGGTGTGGTGGGCCTGAGGCACTGTGAACCAAGGCATGATGACTTTAGCGGCCACCCTTCAGCGGCCAGACCATGGTAGGAACACCTGCTGTAGAAGACCACTCCATGCAGTGCTACAACCCAAAACCTGCAAGCATAGGCCATCCCATGACCTCACCTCCTGCTTCCTGACCTATAGTGAGAAAATGGAAGTGGGGCAGATCTGAATGGAAGTTGGGACTCAAGAGGTGACCCACAGCATTAATACTTTTTCAAACCCTAATTAGCATACATTTGGAACAATAGCAGTGATCCACATGCTATATAAACCCCTAGACTAGCACTCCAATGGAGAAAACCTGCTATTGGGTCCTTCTTGTACCGTAAAAGTTCTGTTCCTATTTCTATTCTTTAGTAAATCCTACTCTTACACTCACTCATCCTGGTCTGTGGATTTCATTCTTCAAAACCATGAAAAAAGAACCCAGAAAGAAGAAGAAATTGATAGTGAGATGCTGGGGTCTCCTGCCACACTGGAGGGCATGGCCCACCATTAAGAGCTGCAACACTTCTCAACTGCAGAGCCCTGCAACCTTCTGCAGACACCACCTGCCAGCAGAAGCCAAGAAACTCCAGTCTCACCCACTAGCAGAAGCAAGGAATGGAGTTTCATCTCAAAACTCTGGTTTTAGTATGGACTATTTTTTCAATGGTATATGTAAAACACACCAAAGAAAATTAACTACAAAGATTAGGATTGGAAGGTGCCACAGGAATAGTGTGTTTGAATAAAAAGATCTGCACTTTTAATTTTTCTGTCTCACAAGAAGCCGGATGAGGACAAATGAGAAAACAACTACTTAGGAAAAATTTCAACTGAACTGCAATTGTTGAATATTTAGAGAAAAGTCACAGTTGCACCTTACCAAAAGCACATTTGAGAGCCAAGCTACCTTGTCCAGGATTTCAACTCACTAGAACCATCTGAGGGTGTGAAGCTAGCTGGACAAAAAAAAAGTGAAATTTGGGCAGGTGGTGAAGAGGAGAAATTGGCAAAACATTGTCAATTCTTGTCTATGAATTATTCTTTCTGTATTTTCTCTGCCAGAATTTGAAGGCTTCCTCAAGTTCTAGCTAAAATGAGCCCTCAAGAGTAAAGCAAGGAGGCAGAACTTACAGCAACAAAAATAACTCACATTTACTGAGCAATATACAGGCCTTATCTCAGTTAATCCTCATCACCACTGCCGTTACTCATATTTTACGATGGAAATCCTGAGGAATCACATTGAATAACAGCTGATGGGTGGTAGAGCTGAGCGCTCTGGGACTACAGTCTCAACCACTGTTCTATTTTAAGTAGGGCATGCTTCAGCCCCTATACACATCTTAGCCCCACTAGTAAGAGGGGGCCTAGTCCCTTCCTAATTCCCTCAAAAGAGAATTTTTATATGTTGGTGAAAGTCCATCACATTTACT